ATTGATTGATTGAATGATTTGAATGATTGAACTCATACGGTTTGATTCGGTGAGGTAGTTGGTTACAAAGTAGTCGAGTTCACGCTTTGACAGCTTGCCTTGGAGGAACTTCTTGATGTAGTCCCAATATAGATCGATCTTATCACTCAATGCTGTACTTAGTTGTTTCTTCAATGGCATTAGATCTATACGATCCATTGATTGACCACCTATTGGTGGAGGATATGATGAATCCCTATTTCTATCTTTATCCTTATCCTTATCTTTATCTTTATCTTTATCCTTCTCTCTATCTCTATCTCTTTCTTTACCCTTGTGATGGGTATCATTATTTGACTTTCCCATCTCTCTCCTATATCAGTTGATATTAATGATGTTGTTGTCGATGTCGATGTTGATGTTGACGTTGAAGTTGATGTTGATGTCGGACTCTTTCCCTCACTTCTCTTTAGTTGTTCAACAAACAGAAGAATAACTTCAAAAGTTGTGTGAATTTGTGTTTTTTTTAGCGCGAAGTCATTGAGGTGGATTCCATGGAATTAATGGATAAATGAATGAAGTGTGGAAGGTTGGATACTTTAATGACACATAGAGAGATATACAATAGAGCTCAACTCTGCTTTCACTCTTTATCAATAACATCACAATCAATTAATTAATTAATAATTAGTTGATCGAATCGGCAAAGTTCATTCTGGATGATTGAAAGAGGAGGAGGGGGATAATGTTAGTAACCTATCCAGGAAGTTATAATATATATGAAGGTAATAGCATACGGCATCTCATCGATTTGAGTGGAATAGAATTGTTCGATATCTCTCAATATTCTAATGTCACTACTCTTGACAAAGTTGATTGCCACTCCCTTGCGACCAAAACGACCTGATCTTCCAATCCTGTGAATATAGTTCTCACGATCATTTGGCAAGTCATAATTGATTACCAATGAAACCTGCTGGACATCAATGCCTCTTGCCAAGATATCTGTTGTAATGAGCACACGACTTTGATTGATTGATTGATTGTGATTGGATTTGGTTAGTTAAAGTGATCAATCGATTGATATGATGTGTACACATACTTTTCGCCTGATCTGAATGACTTGAGAATCTCCTCACGTTCCTTCTGTTCCATGTTACCATGCATTGAGGCAACTGTGAAGTTGGCTTCACGCATCTTCTCGGTGAGAGCATCGACCTTTGTTTTGGTGTTGCAGAATATGACGGCTTGAGTGATGGTGAGCGAGTCGTAGATGTCGCACAGTGTTCCAAACTTCCACTCCTCCTTCTCCACAGACACAAAGAACTGCTTGATGCCCTCGAGCGTCAGCTCATCACGCTTCAAAAGGATCTTGACGGGGTCGGTCATGAACTTGTCTGTCATTGTGACGACGTCCTGTGTGAGTGTGGCCGACACCAGCACGATCTGTGTGGCTGGCGGCAGATATCTGTAGACGTCGTTGATCTGTTGCTGGAAGCCCATGCCGAGCATCTCGTCGGCCTCGTCGAGAATCATCATCTTGATGTGTCTAGTCTGTAGCGCCTTTCTCGAGATAAGGTCGATCACACGGCCTGGTGTGCCACTGACAATGTGTACGCCAGCCTCCAGACGACGAAGGTCCTCGGCGATGGTCTTTTGTCCAATGAATGAGTGCACCTGCACGCTCATGAAGCCGCCAAGCGCCATCAGCACCTTTTGAATCTGCTGTGCCAGCTCACGTGTTGGCGAGAGGATGAGCACCTGAGGCGACTTGATGCTGGGATCGACTGATTGCAATGCGCCAATGGAGAACGTCGCTGTCTTGCCCGTGCCACTCTGTGCCTGAGCTATTGTGTCGTGTCCTTTAATGATGGGGAGAATCGCACGCTGTTGAATGGCCGATGGCTTCTCGAAACCAAAGCCATATATGCCTCTGAGTAGGTCGTCTTTAAGATGCATCGATTCAAATGTCGGGCACACCTCAATCTTTTGCTTTGCCTGTGTCTCATACTCTGCTGGGCCACCAGCAGCTGAGCTATCGCCCTTCTTTCCTCCTGCTGGGGCTCTTCCGCCCTCCTCCTTTCTAGTATCCTTTCTATTTCCTGATGCTAAAGTATCCATGTCATATGTTAGCTAATCAATCATTATTATGTTTCAAATGATTGAATGAACAAATGAATGAAGGATATATGAATACTTGTACTCACCTCTATATATAGACATGGTTAATGTAATGTATATTGAATGTGTGTGTATATATATAAATATGTAATGTAATAACTGAATGAATATTAATATCAGTTTGAACTTGTTGTTGAATGATTGAAAGTTGACAATGTGCATTGTCAAACCGAGCTGGTCAAGCGTGTTTCACGTGGACTCTTTTTAAATTTAATTTGAACTTCCAATCAAATCTGGTGGGTTGTTTAATAAATAATAATTATTGAGGCTGGATGAATCGTTGGAAGATATTGCAATTATCTTTCTCTATCAGTTGCTTTAGATTCTCGGTCGGTATGATGCCACCTTCAAGATACTTGGATAAAATTATCGAGTGGTCACTTATGTTGTTAAGTCTAATGTTGATGTGGAAATTGTTGGTTTGGAGATTGATGGTCTGTAAGCTGCTAGGTAATGACTCCATTGGATTTGGTATAAAGAAGTTTATCCTAAAGCTACTGTCACATATCAGGACGAGTTTAAACAGATGGGGGATAGTCCCTGATTCAATCATCTGATAGAACTCGGCACCGATGCGAAGAGTGTGCAGTAGCCTAGGCAGACATCCAAAGAAGATGGGCAGGTTGTATTTACGTCCAAACTCGACAGTGCCGACTGACGATGGGATGCTGCCTCGTTTCAATGGTTTGTTGAATCGGTAGCCAAATGTGACGTTCGAGAGGTTTGGTGGCAGATGTCCCATCCGTATCGGTTGATTAAAGGCATCGCCAAAGATGAGAGTTGTAAGAGATGGAGGTAGGATTTTGGGCTTTAGGATCTGATTGAATTGATAACCAAACTCTATATGAGTCACATGGGAGGGGATGACATTGAGCCCAAGAGGTTTGTTGTATGAATATCCAAAATTAATGTTGGTCACTGATTCTGGAATCACATCCGGAGGGATATTTGTATTAAAATCGTTTCCAAATATCAGTTTGGTAATGTTTGTAGGGATTGAACCTGGTACAATCAAATGATTAAAGTCATTACTAAAACACATCACATTGCTATATATTATTGTGGCTAAGATAGTCTTGTTAGTCAATACTATAATAAGAATATGTAACACATTTGATTCCTACCTTTATCTTTATCGTCATTATCTGTCAATGTTATGTTGTTGAATGTTTTATCGAGTGAATCTGGTGACGACGATAGGAATGAATGTTGAAGTTCATTGTAGAATGAGTTTAAGCAGAATGGGAATGTCGATCGTTTATAGGATGCAAGGGATATGTCGCCCAAGATGAAGTGCAAGTACTTTGACCTATCTACAAACAATCTCTTTGAGGACAATACCAAGTTGATCCTGTCAATGTTGTCCGGTAGGAGCGAAACTATTTCTCTAATCAATATATGAGGTAGTTGTTCAACTGGGAACATAATCAACAAACATTATATTTATAGAATTGTATGTGTATAAATTATAACTCTTTATGTGAATATATGTATATATATGTATGAATGAATAATGAATGAATGAGCCTACCAACTTGAATGAATGAAAGTAAGAGCGCAATAAGGATTGTTCCTTTTAAGGAGTTGTGTGTGTAGCATACCAATAACCACACTCTACACAATCGATCCTACACCACCCCCTAACTCACTCATCATCCCACTATTCTCTCATGATCTCTATCTCTGTCTTAAGACAATCATTATTAAAAACATATAAAGACGAACAGATTGATTTGAATGAATGTGACATTTAGTCCTTTTATGGAGATGATGTGGATCTGTTGTTCCTCTTACGCATGTCGGCCATTGTATCGAGGGAGAACAGGTTCATGTACTTTTGATTGAGCGAGCCAGCTGCTTTGGACAGGCGATCGATTCGACGGGCATTGTTATTATTATTATGGTTATTGTTATTGTTATTGTTGTATCGGCTATTTCTTAGAAGACTTGTTGTATCTCCCCTTCTTAGTCTTGAAGCAGAGGCATTGTTTGAAGAGGGGTCATCAACCTCGCGAAGTATATTAAATGACCGGATATCAACTGCCTTTTCCATAATGTATAATTAGATTGATTGATTGATAGAGAAAGATAGATATTGAGAATGAAGATGTTATATATGAAATGGATGAATAGATAGATAATGGACTGTTAATGGAAGAGAGTTATGGTGAATGAATGTCATGTGTCACTAACCCATACACTCATCATGATATAGCATAGTATAGTATGACAATGAGTGATATACGACCCACATCCCCGATGATCATGATATATATCAACCACTTCCAACTCATTGCATATGGTAGTAGAGCAATGAATGTTGTATTTAGTGTTTGAAGTTAGTAGACCGCAATGAATCAACTTCACAACCCCATCATACTTGATGTCCCACTGATATGAAGTGATGAGTCAGTCTTACCAACACAAACTCATTCACACACTACCACATACTCCTACAATAATCATACACATACACACTCACACTATGTGTGTTGATTGATTATGACACCTGACGACTTTACAACTTTACCTATTCAATTTGTGATCTCATATAGGTGTGATTGATAACTACAGCCCATTCTGACCAAGTACGTTGTAGCAATGTCCAGGTGGTAGCATGTCCGATCGTTTGATCATTGATCTACAGTTCTGAGTTCTCCACTTGGTGTCCCAACGATATTGACAAATCAATAATGAGTTTATTGAGGACGATCATCCATGCTACCAGGTACTATCCAGTAGCATAAACCAAATATGATGGATGATCCAATCACTCCTTCTCAATCTGATGATCAACGTTTGGCCAACACAGTTGTTGAATGAAAGGCCAAATAGTCTTTGAGTGCCTTTGATGGCTCATTGACACGTGCATGTGGTAGCAGTGTTAAATAGTCGAGTGCCAGGTTTTCCGAGTTATCGCGTGCAGTCACATCCTTGGCCAGATAGCTCGCATTCTTGGTGAGTACCAGTGTGTGAGGAACACCTTTACGGTCAATATCCGAGCTCAAGCCATATCCGTGGATCTGTGACAGAATGTGATTCCTATCCTTCTCCTTGACCTTGAACCTCGCAGTCAGGTCTTGCGAACTGAGATACTTGGCCAGCACCTTACAGTGTTCGCATGCGCATCTCAGTGTACATCTTCGCTCATTGCCCGTGGGGTAGGGCAATGATGATGCCTCCAGGCACTTCCTGGATGCCTTGTCCCAGAGGTGGCAGTAGTACTTTGAGGTCTGGCCATATTGTTTGAACAACTGTTGCACCAACTCGTACAACATGTTTGGTTCGATGTCTGCCAACACATTGATATAGCTCTCAATCTTTGACTGATGGGGATGCACCAGGTCCCAGAGCGACACCATGAACTTCACCGATGACCCGAGGTTTCTTGAGTGAATGGCGCCAACGACTCCACTCACCATCCTTTGGAGTAGATGGTGCCAGTGTTGGCTGTGTGCTATCCACTCTGGATGTGCAGTGTTTATCCTTTCAAACACGGGGATGTGTTCGTAAAGGTCATTCATTGTTATGACTCGGTCAGAGTGGCTAATGAGTGACAGGTACACCGCCTTGATAAAGTCCAGTGACATGTAGCTTGGAAGAGTGCCAGGTGTCTCCAGATCCTTGAGCATCGATTCAATGTACGCCAGTCTCGAGTCCAATGATGATCCAGTGATATTGTTGTTGTTGGTCATCATAGTAATGTACTGTCTCTGATCAAACACGGCAAGCTTTGAGATTAACTGCAAGCGGTCCTTGGCAAACACTGGATATTCGTTGAATAGTGTGTCCAGGTCCCTCTGGAGCTGCACAAAGTATTCATATCGCTCTCGACTACCATGCCAACGGGAATAGTATGTCCTGGCATTTCCCTCGACCGTGGGCTGATGATCCGAGTCCAACCTGTCGCACAGTGTGTGGCCGAGCTCAGGGATGAGCGACGCAATGTACTTGGGCTTGGTGAGCAAGCAGAGTGTATGCAGGAACTCTGAGCCACTGTACAGCTCAGCTCGTTGGACGACCAATTTGATGAGTTCGCGTGCCAGGTCCTCCTTGACCGATGTGTCAAACAGTAGCTTCTTGAACTGCTCCGTGTGGACCTCTGCCAAGAACTCGTTCACTGTTGCCTCCATCGCCTCCTTGAACAACTCTGGAAGGTATTGTTTGTTCTTGATCGACGACAGGTGTGCCAGTACCTCGCTAAAATGATCAGAGCTGAGGTCATCATAGTTGGGCACACTTGAGAACACTTGATGAAGCAGGTCCCTGGTCGCCTTGGGGTCCTTGTTGATGCCACCGATCTTCTCAAGTTCAACCTTGAGATGGGCTAATGCCTTCTCCATTGAGGTGACCACTGCGAACCTTCCAGCTTCCTGGACGTCCCAGATCACAATGACTGCATGTCGATAGAATCTCTCGAATGTTCCACCCTCGTTGCCTGTGGCTTCTTCCTGCTCCTCTTGATATGGCTTGATTTTGTTGAATGCACCTTGTGGCATGATCTCCACATTCTCTTGTACATCCATCTTCTCAGCAATCGATGTACCATCAACAATGTCCTTGATATGGGTCAGCTCGAACGTTGTGTCCCACTCTCCATAGTCTCCCTTCCTAATTGCGTGATTGATGGTTAATACTTGATTGATTGATTGAAAGAATGAATGGATGACCTTACTCGTCAATGTGAATGAAACCAAGTCCAAGCATGATATTGGCCTTCTCTGCAATGGATAGCAAGACACGAGCCATTACAGCATCCTTGCCCTTGAGTGACTCCAATGTGAAGTTGGCCATTGAGTATACATGCTCGAGTGCGTGTACTACCTTGGTTGGCTTGATCCCAGCCGAAACATCTTGATCATCACGTGCTGAGTAAAGGTCGTAATCATCGTCATTGCCATCAATGTCGTGGTCATAATCATCGCTGTCTGTTTCTTGCTCGCCATTATAATAGGCTGGGTTATATACGTATCTTGACTTCCCAAATCCGTCTGTTACCCAGTGACCTTCCTCAACTGGGTACTTTGTTCTCTTTAAACTTGTCAAATGCTTTATGGGAATTCGTGCCGCTGCACTCTTCCTCGCCGTCTGCTTGGGTCGTGGGATCGTGCCAGACTTCGAGGTAGAGGCCGAAGTGGTGGTCTGTGTTGCCGACAGAGGTCGCTTGACCAACAATGATGCCGCCGATGTCTTGGCGGGCGCAGGGGCAACAGCAGGTGCCTTGGGGAGATCATTGCGATCAAACACTTTGTCAATCGCCTGGACAAGTTGTTTGGTGTCAATAGTGTGATTGATGTGGTTGCCACCAGATCGCAATAGGTTGTAGACCAGACACACTCTGTTGCCATCGGTGACGGGCTTGACCTCGTGTCGACAGTCGGCGTAGAATGCCGTCCACTTGAGCTCGGACATGCTGTCATTCTCCAATGATACGACGGCCTCTTGATCGGCGTGGGTGATCACGAGGTCGCCACCCTTGTGGCTGCAGGGCAGCGAGACAACGAGCGTGCCAAACATCTTGTCGGCCTTCTCTGAGTCTCGATGGGGCAGGAAGAAGCCACCCTTGTCATAGACGAGCAGCTTGTAGAGCTCGGCCGTGACGGTCTCCTGGCCAAGACCCATGATCTCCTTGATGACGTCGACCATCTTGGCAAAGAAGGTGTCAAAGTGTGTGCCGGTGATGCTGATGTCTTGATGCTGGATCTGCCAGACACGTCGCACCTTGAGGTCGGTGATGGTTTCGGTGCCCTTGCCATAGGGTGCGCGGGTGGCTCGCTCAATCACACGTTGTATCTGCTCGGGTGTGACGGGGAAGGACAATGAACCTGCGTCCTTTATCGTTATGCGAGGCATTGGGATGTACTCTTCGCCCTTGCACCAATACATTGCTGTACTATTGCATTGACGAAGGGCATCCTCCAATGGCTTCAAACTCTTATTATAAGTTATATGATCTACCATTGTATGTTTTTGAAAGTGAAGTGGACTTGTGATCAAGTTCACACATGTTTTTCAAATAAAACGAATAAAGTGGAATCATTCCAGTTCAGTGGGGGGGAACATATGATTGAGTGAGATTCAACATGTTGGAACAAGAATGAATAGTCATTAATCGTTGGTATTGGAATTGTTCCAGTGATTGATCACTCAATGAATAAATCAATCAATCGTTTATTTCTTGTGCATCAGTAGGATTAACTGTCTCCAACATTCTGATGCCTCTTGTTCTGATAATGTTCGACATTTAGGACATTGGAATATCCATGGGTTCATGGTGATGTGGCCATAAGTGATGGTACGCCCATTCTCATTCTCTGCCATTTTCTCACGACAATGTTGTCGTGGACAGTATATAGTTCGTTCATTGTTGGCCCTGATCATTTCCTGTCGATGATGTTCTTCTCGATCGGCCAGTCTCTGTGCCTCCATTTGTCTCTCGCGCTCTTCCTTCTCTCTGACCAATGCCTCCAATCTTTGTTGTTCCAGTCTCATGCGTGCCTCCTCTTCCTCTCGCAGCCTGACCTCATTCTCCCATCTGATTGTCTCCTGTCGTTGATCTTCCAGTCGCTCCTCCACTGTCTTCCAACTATCGACGCGGTGCATCAGTTGATCGAGATTGGGATTGTAGGATGAATGAAKGAACCTCTGTCTGATGTGATTGAGTATGATCACCCTTGATTGTGCCCTKGCMGCGCCGCYCGGGTCTATTTTGTATGTACGATTATCTACATGTGCAACAGGGCATTGGTGATAGGGCGCAAAGTGTTCAATGTCATTCAGGGCCACAATGTCGGCGTCACAAGCTGAAGGATCATCAAAGTCTTCAAACTTTGTCCGAACGATCAATATGTGATTGATGATCGCTTGATCGGCGAACAGAGTGTCCTTGAGCATGTCTAATGCGTCGCGCTCCACTTTGCCAAAGCACGACTCGTATACAAAGATAAAGACGTTGATGCCTCCATTGAAATCGAGWATGGCGGCAGCAGTCTTCTTGATCAACTCTTTAGGGTCGATTCCAGTGTCACCAAAGCCAATAGTATCCATTAGAAAGAGTTCAAGYTCATCAACATTATAGTTCTTTCCAAGTTGATGATTCGTCGTTGTACTCTTTGATAGGTTGCCCTCCTCGTAATCGTCTGTGCCACTGAGAACATTGCATAAAGTTGACTTTCCACCTTTAGTCTTGCCAAATAAAAATATATTTACTCTTATATTATTATTATTATTATTCATTTATTATTATTGCATTAGATAGATGTTATATTATTTGTATGATTTGAATGAATGAATGTCCTTGATGGCTTCGTTTGTTTTTTGATCAAAAAACTAAGTCGATCCAATCAATCGAGGAAAATGAGTGATATGGATACTTATACTCGTTTATTATTATCTACATTCTATATTATCTTTATCACTACTATAAATTTTAAAAAAGTGATGAGTCGAGATACTATAGGAGCTAGGTTCGGTTGTACAGTTATGTTTTGAGGCAGGGAACCAAAGCACTGAGATCCCATATTCCGATGGAGCAAAGTATCATATCCATAACAAATCCACTTTTCAACTATGTTATCTCTTATGGACCAGTGAATATCTTGTGTCTTGTCGAACCTTGTCCCTCAGACACACGTCATAAATATTTGCAGCATGTCACACATTATTGGTCGAAAATATGGTTGATTGGTTGAGGTGCCAGATCAAACCTAAATCTTCAACATTTTGTAAATCATTCAATAACCTCTGTGCGATACCAAGACGATATTCATCATGTCGTCGTCTATCAACTGACCTATTTATAGAAATTGAACATATTTCGAACCGGTTGATGCATCTGTGTACATGATGACACCACTCATGAATTCATTGATGTGTACATGAATATCGTCTTGGTATCTCACAAAAAGAGCCGGTTTGATGAATGGGTATAATAAAAGGCCTCGGAGATACACAAAGGAGGAGCGACCATCAATTTAAAATAAATACAAAGTAAATCTTTATGATGATGTTAGTTAGACACAACGAGTAATGACGTCTGATCACTAACTTGGACAAGTTTGAATATAAGTAGCCACCAACTTGCCAGTTGAATAACTTATTAGAAACATAGATTAATAGTTAAACTAAACATGTACAAGCTTATCCTTTCTCTCATCGTCCTCTCTTGTGTCTACACTGCTGTTGCCAACGCCTCATGTGCCACCATGGGATGCACATTCGAAGCCCCCAAATGCTACGGAGCGGCCGGCACCCAGCCACAATGCTACCCAATGGGACTGTGCACTCAGATGCCCTGTCTACCAGGCAAGGAATGCATTAACGTTAATGGCCTGGACCAATGCCTCAGGACCACCCACTGCCCAAGCTGCCCATCCGACTCTGTCTGCTACTTCTTCTCTAACACTCCTCTCCCAGCATGCTACAAGCTCTTTGGCAACTGCGGTCCAATGGGGTGCCCTTCTGGCCAGGTCTGCATCAAGAACCCCATAGTAGGTTCAAGCTGCGTCGTCCCCCTCTAACTCGATTGAAAGTGGCTGAACATCACCCAACACAAAGATCTTGATCGATGGGTTAAAAATGGAAATTCCATCAATAAATAGTCATTATCAACTCCAACACATAATGTGGACATCGACCTGTTTAACGACTACGAGCAACAGTCAACATCATTCGACATACTCATCGTCAATGGTCAACTCAACCTCGAGACCAACAATAATCAATTCACATATGGCTTGAACGATCAAGTAACTCTATCTGTAGATACAACAACAACAACAAAACAAACATCATCAATCTACCAACGCACATCCATTGTCATCACAGATACAGATCAGACGATCAATGGCATCAAGACATTCACAGACCCAACACACCTATCATCAATCACCAGTGAAGTCTATGCAACAGGTCTATTCAGGATAGGCGACAGCCCATACCAGGTGTCCAAGATCACCCTCATCAATCAATCACCCCGCCAACGAGGATGCCGCATCAGCGGTAGCTTCCGCACCTCAGCTGGACACGTCAATCGAGCAACAGCTGTCTGAGAGGAAGAGGATGTCCAAGCAGTGTGGACTCTCCCGACCAATCCGCCACCCTCACCGGCTGTACCAATACGCTCATTGGACAGCAGGCCACCAGTCCCATCGAGGAACAGTGGCGAGCAACAGGCTCCAGTCTCGGTCACCACCACATTCTACGCCGGCATCCCCCTGCGGCGGCCTCGTCGACACCTGAGAACAAGAAGTCATTTCTCAACACACTGAAGAGGATTGGAAGAACAAGAACAAGCATCAGACAATGACAGGAGGATGAGGTGGCGATGACGTCGCCGCCGCAGACACATCGATCAAGTCGTCTCCAGATGTCCAGCATCAACAACACCAACTCCATCCTCAACCTCCACGCCACCATCATCACGAAATCAGTGCCAGCAACTGATCAAACGACGCCAGACCAAACAGGTAGCTCCACAATACATACATCCATGAATGGTACCAATACAACAAATAACACCATCATTGTATCGATTGATCAAGAACTTCATTGCGTGGAAGCCACAGTTGTCACTATTAGCAGCCTGGTCATCTCTCCTCACCTTCATCTTCAAATAGTAATCCTATCAATCAACACCTTGACTCTCTTCATAAAGTCATCACTTGGATCATCTCTACACTCTTGTGAGACATGCTCAAGGACACTCTGTTCGCCGATCAAGCGATCATCAATCACATATTGATCGTTCGAACAAAGATTAGTTTGAAGACAATGAGTAACGATCATGGATACTTAAATCATTATAATAATATTTATTAATATTAATATTATTCATAGGAAGTAAAGAAAAAAAAATATATATATTTGTTTTTATTATTCATTTTAATTAATTAATTGGTGTAGTTTGATATTAGTGTCAGATTTGTTAGGCATTGTGATAATCTAATTGCTGGCTTTCCATATGTAACGTATGGATGTTGAATGCCACACAATTACTCCCATTACACAGTCACTGATACTCTTTAGATTGATAGGAGTGCCGTTGTTCAAACCTTTAACACACTTGGCCATCAGTTTGAGACGAGATAGACTGTAGTTGTAGACGTCTTCCTCGTTGTCCAAAATTGAGAACACATTTAAGTTGCCCTTCTCATTCAACTCCTTCTTCCAAGAGTTCATGTCGTTCCAAAGAGCGGTGAATGTTGCCATGTGAGTTAACAAGTCAGAGAACAGGTGACTGTGCTTGCTGGCGTAGACCCACTCCTTCATCTGTGGTGCGGTAAACCCAGGGATGCAGATGGTGCCACTGCCACCCCATGAAGTACGGGCGCGATAGTAGACATCAGAGTTGATCTTGGACATCTTGGATAGGCTCACCTCAAAGAGCGAATTGTAAAGATACTCGAGTAGGTAGGTGCGGTGGTATTCAAAGGTCTCTTCATCGCTGTGGCGGTGTATCTCACTTAGCAACCTGTAGTTGACCCGTTGGAACGCAGTCAACTCCGGTCTCTCCTCGTAGGTATTGTCCTCGATTGCCTTGATCATGAACTGGTACATGTCGTAGTGGTCGTCGATAATGAACAAGAATATCATGTTGGCAAACACAGTGATGATTTGAGGTTGAGCCAAGGAACTGAGATCCCATATTCCAATTGAGCAATGTATCATATCCAGAATAAATCCACTGTTCATAAGCTCCATCTCTTCTGGATCAGTGAATGTCTTGTCGAACCATTCCAGGCAAATGTCATAATATTGGCTGTGACATTGTTGGTCGAAAATACGGTTGATTGATTCTGGAGTCCAGAGCATGCCAAAATCTTCAACATTTTGTAAATCATTCAATAATCTCCGGGCGAGACCAAGACGATATTCATCAAGTCTAAGGAATTGGTTCAATCTCTTGTCCTTGTATTCTGTTTTGAGATAATCATTGTAGCGTTGTTCAAACAGAGTTGCCATGTTGTCCGATTTAAATTGTGTAGTTGATGGTTCATTAACGATTTCAGTTTCCGAGGAAGTTGAATGAATAGCCTCAGCAACTTTCTGGATTAATTGTTTGGTATATACCATTGTTATAAAAATAATTATAAATTATTTAATGACCTTATGAATGATAAATTTTTTATTTTAAAATAATTATTCCTTTCAAACGAATTTAAATTCTATCCCTATACCTGATACCTCAGGTCATCCCAATCTTCATTTATTATTACAGATTCATTATGTTTCTGGTACATTCCAATACAACAGCAATGACAATAATGGTATTTTCACAACTAAAATAATAAAGATACTAGTACAATACAAGTACTCTCAACACGTTTCTATTATAGTATGGAGTAACACTTTAAAACCTAAAAGGGAATATTCCCTAAAATAGTGGAACTGTACCCCTCCCAATATCTACACGATATGTATCTGGTGAGTTAATGACGATAACCCACCAAACACATTCACGATTTAAACGTTGTGTCACAGCACTCCACTTGATTTACGATATAACTTTGTAATATATATGTCTACCCGTTGATGTTCACAACAGAATACATTGAGATGGCACCTATTCAATAATATTCAAGAGAGAGATTAAACGTAATAATTTGTGTAAATTAGCTGGAAGATAAATATCTTCACAAATATATATATATATATTAATTATTATAAATTAAAACAAACAAAAAAAATATTTAAATGAATTTAATAATTATTTCAATCTAATAAAAATTTAATAGTTTACCTATTTTTGGAAGTGTCTTTAGATTCTGGATGGGCGATGTCTATACTGTAGTTGTCAGCGACCCCAAGATCATCCAAGAGATCATGATAAAGGAGTTTGACAACTTTACCAATCACCCTATGTCACCATCTTTCAAGGTATTGAGTCGAAACTAAATTGATTTGGCTTTGGGCCGTGATGAACAATGGTATCATATTAGAAAGTTGGTGTCCAACGCCTTTACAAAAACCAAGTTGCGATCTGTCAGCACTGTTATGGAAGAACAGATCGATAACTTAATTCGAAGGATGAATCAATTTGAGAAGAACAATCAACCAGTAAGTCTAAATCAATTCCTGGAATCATTCATTTCATTCTCTAACATTCAATAAATGAATCAATTAATCAATCAAATATAGTTCTACCCAACGAATCATTTGAAGAAGTTTACTCTCAATGTTATATTTAGTATAATGTTCTCTGATGAGATACCATTTGAGGAGGAGGAGAATGAGGGGAGAATGGTTCGGTTGTGTCAGCCAATGAATATCATCATGAAGACCGCTGGATCAGCGAACTTGGGTGACTGCATCAATTTCTTGAGACCACTTCATACACTCTATTTCAAACTCTTCAGTTCAGAGATTGATAAAGTATTCCAAATTGCCCAAGAGATCTACAACGAACATTTGGAAACCCTTGATGAGCATAAGTATGTTTGATCATTACATATTTAACATTTCTTCTCGGTCTAGCTCACTAACAAATCACCAACAATGAATCTCAGCCCAAGGGACTTGTTGGACCACTTGATCATTGACTCAAAGGGACAGGACAAGGATTCAGTCGCCATGGTTGGTAATGACTTTATTGTTGCTGGGAGTGAGACCAATGCTTCAACATTGGAGTTGTTGTTGATGTTTTTGATCAACTATCCAAAATCCAGGAGAAGATGGCCGGTGAACTAGAGAGTGTTGTTGGTCTGGGCAACCGAGCTACTGTGGCCCATCGTTCCAAATGTCCCTACACTAATGCTGTGATCAAGGAGGTGATGAGGATAATGCCAGTGCTCCCACTTGGCGTACCTCGTCAAGCAAAGGAGTCAATTATTATTGCCGACAAGTACTACATTCCCAAGGGTGCCATGGTGATGATTAACCAGCGTGCACTCCATCACAACTCTGATCATTGGACCAACCCTGATGAATTCAGACCTGAGAGATTCCTGGTTGAGGACGTAAACCACAATGATTACTTGCAATCATTCAGTTGTGGTCCTCGGAATTGTGTTGGACAGATACTTGCCCTCGATGAGATGTTCGTAGGCTGTGCCAACATTGTAAACAGATTCAAAGTGAACTCTATCGATGGCCAACCTGTCAATGATGAGGAGTTGTTCGGACTGGTGATAACTCCAAACCAGTTCCAAGTCTGTCACAATGCCAGATCCTAATCTGTTCAAGTCAATTTGTAATTAATAAACTCATTTCTTTCCTTATAGAAGGTACGGTTGATGTTGTTGTGCTTGTGACGCATTGATACCTACAGTTCAATCAATGTACATTTGATGATGTTAGTTTAGTCGATGTAGGACTCACTCAAGTTGAGTTATCATGTTGATCATATACCTACTAGGGCAATGTTGATAAACTTGTTTATGAGGTCAATCCTTTCGGATGGCTGACCCGTGACTACCTTGGTGGATGCCCATAGTTGTTCAATCAATCAATCTTAGACCTTCTTCTGATCCAGATTCTTGAAGACGGCGCGGAGAAAAGGGTTGCCACCTAGGTCCGCAATCTCCTTGACGATCTTATCTTGCAGCTGATCCACATGAGCCTTGGTCGACTCCAAAGCGACACTGCTCTTGATATATTTACCGAGGTTTCTCTTGATATCCTCCAATTGTCTCTCGCGCTCTTCCTTCTCTCTGACCAATGCCTCCAATCTTTGTTGTTCCAGTCTCATGTTTGCTTCTTCCTCTCGCAGTCTGACTTCCATCTCCAATCTGAGTGTCTCCTGTCGTTGATCTTCCAGTCGCTCCTCCACTGTCTTCCAACTATCGACGCGGTGCATCAGTTGATCGAGATTGGGATTGTAGGATGAATGAAGGAACCTCTGTCTGATGTGATTGAGTATGATCACCCTGGACTGTGCCCTGGCCGCGCCGCTCGGGTCTATTTTGTAAGTTCGATTATCTACATGTTCAACAGGGCATTGATGATAGGGCGCAAAGTGTTCAATGTCATTCAGGTCCGCAATGTCGGCATCACAAGCTGAAGGATCATCAAAGTCTTCAAACTTTGTCCGAACGATCAATATGTGATTGAGTATCGCTTGATCGGCGAACAGAGTATCCTTGAGCATGTCTAATGCGTCACGCTCCACTTTGCCAAAGCACGACTCGTATACAAAGATAAAGACGTTGATGCCTCCATTGAAATCGAGAATGGCGGCAGCAGTCTTCTTGATCAACTCTTTAGGGTCGATTCCAGTGTCACCAAAGCCAATAGTATCCATTAGAAAGAGTTCAAGCTCATCAACATTATAGTTCTTTCCAAGTTGATGATTCGTCGTTGTACTCTTTGATAGGTTGCCCTCCTCGTAATCGTCTGTGCCACTGAGAACATTGCATAAAGTTGACTTTCCACCTTTAGTCTTGCCAATAAAAATATACTCTTATATTATTATTATTATTATTATTCATTTATTATTATTACATTAGTATGTTATATTATTTGTATGATTTGAATGAATGTCCTTGTTGGCTTCGTTTTTTTTTGATCAAAAAACTAAAGACGATCCAATCAATCGAGGAAAATGAGTGGATACTTATACTCGTTTATTATAAAATTAATTATTATCTACATTCTATATTAACGTTAATGGCCTGGACCAATGCCTCAGGACCACCCACTGCCCAAGCTGCCCATCCGACTCTGTCTGCTACTTCTTCTCTAACACTCCTCTCCCAGCATGCTACAAGCTCTTTGGCAACTGCGGTCCAATGGGGTGCCCTTCTGGCCAGGTCTGCATCAAGAACCCCATAGTAGGTTCAAGCTGCGTCGTCCCCCTCTAACTCGATTGACATCACCCAACACAAAGATCTTGACAAGATGGATTAAAAATGGAAATTCCATCAATAAATAGTCTTTATCAACTTGATTGCTGCTAAGGTTAGCTTGGGTTCTGCAGGGTTCAACGGGTGTTGTGGGTGGATTCTTCAAATATTTGTTTTGGAATCCAAGGTCCGACCCGTGATGACCCTTTGCAACCTCCAACATAGTAATAGCGACCAATTAATACATATATATGATGGGACAACAACCTCAGACAAGAGGTGAGACATTGTTTAGGGATCAACAGTACTTCCAGAAACAGATCGAGATTAAGACCAATCAGATGTTGGACAACTATCACTCAATCATAAAGATAGCAAAGGTCAATGAGAATGCACAGAACTCATCAGAGATATACGAAATGGAGACTCGTACAACTAATATAGTATGTTGATCAATTTCATCTTGAACAA